CCCTGAAACCACCTACCTACTGACCTTTCGGTTAGCAGTTGAGTGCTTAACCACTGCATCACCAGGGGTCCTATAAACATACTATAAATCAAATATCCCCAGACACTTTTATAAAAGCTGCCTTTCAAATGACACTTTAGTGAACAATGAAATAATCAAAGAGATAAAATTCTTTATTTAACAGAATTCTCTCTCCCTAGGTTAAAAGAAAATAATAATTTAAAAACAATAACAGCACAGCTTTGAGATAGGAACAGGACAATTCTGCTTTTGGTCCTCCATCTGAGCAGGCAGATCTCTCATTTACGGATGTTTGTGGCCAAATGCTCCACACATCTTATGTATGACTCTCTAATTCCTTAAAATGATCTTAGTAGATGCCACTATCTCTTGCTCAACTTTCAAAGTGCCAATAAACTTGCCCCTGTCCAACCTGGGTTTTGGTTTTCCACAGGTAACTCCCGCAGCATCCACAGGGGGGCAGGACATACCACACTGCACAGTTGTCTGTATTTCCATCTATTTTGGAAAGGAAAGAAAAAATTTAACCAGGAGAAGAATGCCATGGTCAAGTTGCTAAAGGAGCCCACACCGTACCTTCTCACTTCAGCTCAAGAACCTCTCGCCCTGTTTTGTGTTCTTCATGAATGAAACTGCTGAGGAAATTACCGAGGGGATCTGAGATTAGACCGAAAGTTTGAATTCTATAGCATGATTTCAAATACTCAAAACATTCAGTGAAGATTCAAAGGGAGATTTTGACCAGCAGTTTGCTCTATGTGTCTTTATTTTTACAAAGCACGTGCGCGCGCGCACACACACACACACACACACACACACACACACACACACACACACACACACACACACACACGGCAAAAGCCTTTGCATAGCCCTGTTAACATTCGGGTGGATTTCTATTTGAAACAAACCCACAAGGGAGGGAGAGATAAGGCTTTATACATTACTGTGGACCATTGCAATGATAATTTGAAATATGATTTTTTTACTGTAGGATAAACTTTGGATTAGGATACAGAAAGACTTGGTTCCTATTCCTGGTTATATTTCTGACTAGCTTGAGACCTCAGGTCTTCTCCACCGAGTCTGTGCCTCAGTTTCCTCACCTGGAAAATGATCTTTGAAGCCCTTTCAAGCACAGAGCAGACAGCCCCTCTCTTTGCATAGACCTGAGGCTGGTAAGACTAAAGAAGGCTAATATCTGCCCCGGAGGAATCCTGAAGCCCAGACAACAGACCACATCCGTTGTGGTCCCTGTCTCAGTATCATTTACTGCTCCACGTGACTCCAGCTAGTGCTAAAAAATCCGAAGCCACCAGAAATAGGCTCATTACTTTATTTACTGTTTATTGATACCTTGCAGGAGATAATAATTGCTGTGGGCAAAATGAAGGGAGAGCAAGCAGGGCTGCAGCTGTAGGCAGGAAACATTCTTATTGGATGGAGGGTCTGAAACCATGAATCATCATTAGCCAGACTCCATACTGATAGAAATTAAAATACTGATAACACAAACCACAAGTGTTCATTTCCGTAAGGGAGGAATAGAGACAGACCACAAGGAGGAAGTCTTCCTGGATGCTTCTGGAGAGGCAGATGTGCACAGTGAGATGCAGAGCAGGCTAAACAGAACCGTGTTCATCACAGTGGTGATGGGTGGGCAGAAGGAGAAGTGTTGCTTCTGCAAGTGAGAAATGGGGGAGTTTTTAGTCTGTGGATTTGTAGAAGTGGCCTGTGCAGGCCAGGAGAGGGGCAATGAAGGCCTGTGGGGAAGGGCAGAGGTACACAGAAGGGAGATGAGTGAAATAGGGTTGGCAGTAAAACAAAACCAAATTAAAAAAATGGAAAGAAGAACTAGCAAATATGTTTGGATATAATGTTAAGTGACAAGGGAAGAATATAACCTGATGTATCTATCCTTGGATTGCAATAATATGAAAAGGACGTGTGTACCAATATAAGGAAGGAATGGAAGGGAACCCCTAAAGGTGAAAACGCTTTGATTTGTTGTAGTGAAAAAAATATGGGAAACAGTGTTTTTTATTTTAGTTCTATTTCCTTTTATGTTGTTACTTCAGTAAATAATAATAAACTATTTTTAAAGCACTGAGAGAGGAAGGGAGAAAAGGTAAACGGAATGGTAGAGCACCTTTGAGTGACAGACTTAAGGTCTCAGAACTTGATAATCATGAAACCAAAACTAGGGGACATAAGTAGAATTGGGATCCAAAAACCCATTGCTGTCAAGCTGATTCCAACTCATAGTGACCCTATAAGACAGAGCAGAACTGCCCCAAAGGGTTTCCAAGAAGCAGCTGGTAGATTTGAATTGCCCTATAGGACAGAATAGAACTGCCTCATAGGGTTTTCAAGGAGCAGCTGGTGGATTTGAACTGCCAACCTTCTGGCTAGCAGCCATAGCTCTTAACTACTGTGGCATCAGGGCTCCAGGATTGGGATAGGGCCAATTGCCAAGGAGTCAATTCCAACGCCCGGCGACTGCATGTGTTTCAGAGTAGAACGGTGCCCCATAGGGTTTTCAGGGGCTGACTATTCAGAAGTAGATCACCTGGCCTTTCTTCTGAGGCACCTCTGGGTGGATTTGAACTTGAACAGCCTTGTGGTTAGTAGTGGAGCGCTTAACTGTTTGTGCCACCCAAGGACTCCTGCCAAACTGTATAGTCCAGTGGTAAAGAGCCCAGGCTCTGGAGCAGTGTGATGTTGGTACTCAGTTTCCCTGCCTGTAAATGGGGATAATGACGGCACTTATCTCATAGGATTGTTGTCAAGATTAAATGAAATAATATATGTAAAGGGCTTAGAACTGTGCCTGACACACAAGTTCTCTGTGGGTGTTTGCCATTACCTGAGGGAAACCAGCGCCTAGGGTGGAGGGCATACCCCAGAACTTAGGAAAGCTCAGAAGTGCTGAGAGGGATGAAGAGACCAGGGGAGCAAAAGTCCCTCCCCTGGCAGGCAGTTAGCTGAGTGGTCCCTGCAGGAACCAAAAAAAAAAAGAAAGGATGAAAAAGCAAAAGACAGAGGGGAAGGAAAGTGAGAGGGAGGGGAATAGACAGACTGGGAACAACAGCAGCAACAACAAAAAAGCAGTGTGGGGAAGGGGAAAATCATCTGAGATCAAATAAAGCCATAAGGTAATGAAAAGAGCAAGAAATAGAATAGATTGGGCCAGGGATGGACTCTTCTATGCTGTATGGGCTCGCCCGTGCTGTTTGGGGTCCCAGCCCTGGGTTCTACCCTTGGCTGTATGACATCTTGGCTGTGTGGCCTTGGAAAATTCATTTCTCTTCTCTGAGCTTTGTTTATTTATTTATTTTACATCAGTGAAAGTGAAAATAGTCACTTTGGGGATGATTAACAGAAGGCATTTTATGATCAGTGCCTGAGGCCCGAATAAACGTGCAGGAAAACTCTATGTTGACAGCAGTCTAGAGGCACAGAGTACTGTGGGAGAGAAGAGCAGCCCTTCGCCTGATCTTCAGGTGTTCAGGTCCCGGAATGAGCAAGACAGTGGGCGGGGAAGACAGACACAGGGAATCTAGGGACCCAAACCAAACCCAAACCTATTGCTGTGGGTTCAATTCCGACCTATAGTGACCCTACAGGACAGAGTAGAACTGTCCCACAGGGCTTCCAAGGCTGTAAATCTTAACGGAAGCAGACTGCCACATCTTTCCCCCGCAGAGCGACTGGTAGGTTCCAACCGCCTATCTTTCGGTTAGCAGTCCAGCGCTTTAACCACTGTGCCACCACAGCTCAGATAAAGGAAACTCGTGATGGGGCGAGCTGGGCTGAAGAGAAACACATTGGGGAAGAGCTGCAAAGGCAGAGGTGTACTGGACCGGGAGGGGGCCGGGGAAGGAGAGGGTGGGAAGGCGGAGAGAGATGGGAGGGCAGTGTGAGAAGAAATGCAGGCTGGGGAAAGAGGGGATTGGAATGCAGAAGGAACGTGGGGAGGGAGGAAGTACCGAAGGCGGGGTGGGGGGGAGAGCGAGAAATTGGGGATGCAGTGGAGGCGGGGGGCAGACAGCCAGAGGGAAGAGGACTCGGGGAGCAGACGCAGGAGAAATGAAGCGGCTAAAGCCAGCGTCACAATTAGTTGGGGACTGCGAGAGGAGAGGCTGCGGCCTGCACGGGAGCGCAGCAGCTTTTAGCATCGATCCAGATTCTAAAGTCTCGTGGCCTTTTCCTGACCTCGAGGGTCGGGAACAGACACCCTTGCCTTGTGGAGAGCGGTACCTCATTGAGAAAATGGGGCTGTTCAGGGCTGGGCCCTGCGCCTGACGCCTCGCGAGGCTTCGGTGGCTCTGGGTTGGCCCCCGAGGGCAGCACACGGCGAGCCTGGAGACTGGGGCCCAGGAAGGACGGAACCACCGACCGGAGCCAGCACACAGCCTGCAGCAGAGGCGCCTGCTCCAAGCCGTCTCTGGGGGGCGCCTCCGCCGCTTCCTTCCTCCCGCTATCGGAGGAAAGTGGAGGCGCTGGCGAGGACCGAGGGCGGGCGAGGACCGAGGGCGGGCGCGGCGCTGCGGAGGAACCGAGCCTCTGAGAGGGCGAGGGGCCTTGGCGCTGCTGGCGGCCCTTCCTCCCTCGCCGTGGGGCAGCTGCGCCCGCCCTCCCCAGCTCTGCGCCTGCGGCCCGCGCTGAGCGCTCGGGCCGGCAACCCCGCACGCGTCCCGCGGGGGCGCTGCGCCTTTCTGCCACACCGGCGCGCGGCGGCCCCTCTCCCCCTACACCTCCTGCCCACACCTCCCGGCCTCTCCTCCCACCCTCCGTCCCCTCCCCTCCCGGCTAGGGGCGGGAGGGGGCGTGGCACGGCCCGGGTTTGTGTGGCTGGGACCCGGCTCCTCGCACTTGGAGTCAGCCGGAGGAGCCGGGCCCCGGCCGCTGTCCAGCCGCGCCGCGCCTCTCGCGCCCCGCGCCGCCGCCTCGTCGGGAGACGCAGTCTTTTTCTCGCCATGGATACTCCCAGGGTCCTGCTCTCGGCCGTCTTCCTCATCAGTTTCCTGTGGGATTTTCCCGGTTTTCAGCAGGCGTCTATCTCCTCCTCCTCTTCGTCCTCTGAGCTGGGCTCCGCCAAGGACGTGAGAAGCCGCAAGGAAGGGAAGGTACCTCGGGCGCCGCGAGAGAGTGCCGCGGACCGGGCGCCCCCGGAGCGCCAGGAGCCACAGCAGCGGCGGCAGGACGAGCCCCGGCGGCGGCGGCCGCAGCAGCCCCAGGCACAGGAGCCGCCCGGCAGGGGCCCGCGGGTGGTGCCTCACGAGTACATGCTGTCAATCTACAGGACATACTCCATCGCCGAGAAGCTGGGCATCAACGCCAGTTTTTTCCAGTCCTCCAAGTCAGCGAATACGATCACTAGCTTTGTAGACAGGGGACTAGGTAAGTGGCAGAGAAGACGCCAGACTCCCGTCTCCCTGGAGCTCCTCAGCCAGGGCGCTGCTGCGGCTCCGGCAGGAGGCTGGATTCCCACTCTGTGCACCTCTCCCTTTCTTTCCTTACATTGTTTTTCTCAAGCTCGAGTAAATTTCTGAATACGACTGCAGATTTTATTTCCGTTTGCAATCCTCCCATCCATCCTTGCTTCCTCCTTTCTTTCCTTCCTTTCTGTCTACCTTCTTCCTCTTGTCTTTTGCAGAGAGCGGCGTGGTGGCCGCTCCTGTGGTGGGTGGTGTCGGAAGCTTGGAGGACGGGAGGTGGCAGGTAGATGGCCAGGGATGGAGAGGGATCAGGGCGCTCCCAGGAGCAACCTGCTGCGGAACTGAAGAACTTGTGCCTTGGGGTCCCGGGCTGTGCGGGATGCACCAGGCAAGGCCTGAGTTACCTGGGTGGACCGGGTCCCGGGCATGCGTGAACGTTGGAAAGCCTCGGCCTCCGGTCGGCGCGGGGGAAAACCGGCAGAAGCGAGTCCCGCCGTCGGAGGAGCGTCTGTGAGCGTCGGGGAAGAGTCCTGGTCCAGTAGCCTCGCAGTCTCTTCGCGCCGTCACCATGCTGAGTGCAGAGCTCATCAGCCAGGCGGGAGCCCCGCGCTCTCGGACTTTTCTGCGCAGTGTCCGGCTCCCGGCCGCTCGGAGGCGGCTGCTGGAGTGGTTTCTACAGCGGCAGCAACTAGTGGGCCGGGCTAGGGGCGGCTAAATTTGGACGTCTGCTGGTACTTAATCCACCTGGGTGCATGGGATGCGCATCCACTTTCTTAGCCAGGCAGCGCTCCTCTCCCTGCACTTCTACGAGGATGCTAGTGCATGTCTGCGGAAACCCCTGCGTCCGCTCCTTGTCTCCAGCATTGGTCCACACGCCGCGTGGCCAGTGCCTTGTAGAAAGCCTTGCGGTCGCCCTGGTCCCAGTAATTGCGGAGGGATCCACAGGCTCCGGAAACTCAACTCCTATAGAGAGGCAATAACGTGGAAGGAAAGATGGAAAAGGAAGAGAGAAAAAGATGGGAAAGGAAGGGGAGAGGAGAAAGGCAAGGTAAGAAAAAAAGGAGGGAATAAAAGAGATCTAGGTAGCTATCCACTTCTCTGTCCTCCCAGACTTAGCCCCGCGGCTTTGGCGGGTCCCCAGCCTCCTGCTTCCAGATCAGTGAAATTGGGGTCGTCCCGGAGGCGGCGAGCGCTGCGACTCGGGCTAAGGAGGCTGTTCCCCTTGGCTGCCTTGGGCGCTCGCATGTTTTCGAAGCTTTCAGCGTAGGTTAACGGTCCCTCCGCTCCGGGCTCCTCCCGGGCTCCAGCTCCTGGCTTCCTTCCTGAAGGTCGCCTTCCTTGAGGGCTAGGGTCCTGCCAACGCCGGATTCGCGGCTGCAGCCTGGGGTCAGCGAAGTTCTTGAGCTGCTGAAAGCTCCGGAGGGCAAATTAACGCCGTGTGTTTTATGGTATTTTAGGACAACTAAAATCCCCTTTGCAAAGACACGTGGCTTCTTTACAGCGCTGCAAGGGTGTTCCTGTCCTCGGGCCGCCAGCACAGCTCGCCACACGCCCCAACACCACCTCACTTGCCTCCCCCACTTTTACCCTCCGCCTTCTGAAGAACCCTCTTCCCAAGGAGAGACTAAGGAGGCTCAGGGAAAACTGCTCAAGAGGCCCTCCCCCACAGGAAGATATCCCTGAGGCCCAGGCTGGCCGGCTGTTGAGCGCGCATTTTCTTTTTCCAAAGAGAAATGGTCAGAATCTCCTCCCCTCCCGCAAGCAGGCACCCCTAAGCGTTCGCTGCGCCGTGTGGGTTTGGCACAGGACCAAAGGACCCTGTGGGCGGTTCGGAGGTGTATACGGAAGCCTGCTGGGTACAGGCGAGGATAGGGTGGTCTTTGGGGGCTCCAGGTCTGGTGGAAACGCGGGCTTGCTTCACCCTTGCTTGCCCTGCAGCCGCCCCCTGGGTATCGCTCTGTGCGCCCCGGGGCGCCGGAGTTAGGGGAGGGACTGGCTGCGCGCCCAGACTGGGGGGCGGGGGACTCTGTTCCCGAGCCAAGGTCTCCAGACCGGCCGGACTCAGTTCCAGACGTCCGGCTTCCACCCCGGAATGCCGTCGTGGGCTGGGGCTTACGAGGAGGAGACGCGGCGTGACAACCTGGACTGTAGTTTCAAAGGCGCCGTCTTCTCCCTGCCCCCAGGTTCCTAGAAAACGCGAAGAAAGGCGGTTAGTTGGTTGGGAAGGCGGTGCAGCTCGTCGCACGCCGCGCGGGGGCGAGGGAGTGCGAAGCCGCGGGCCAGAGTGGGCGCGTAGGGGAGGGGGCAAGTTGCAGGCTGCAGCCCCAGCTTGATAAAGGGAAAGCCTCACTTTCCCTCTCACTGATTTTGATTTGATGTGTCACTGGCGGTGACCTCGGGCTGGACCTTCCGGGGCTTGCTTAGCATCAGGCCCCTGATTGGAGTGTTTCAACTCAGCGATCTAATTGAGGGTTCATGTCATAACACATCAAACGGTGTCTAGTCTCCCGTGATGGAAGGGACCCGCCAGCCGCGCATCCCCGGCTGCAGGCGAGGACTTCCGCCCTTCTCACATGGGGGCTCTTAACCGCGCCAAACACCCCAGCAGTTACTCCCAGCCCCTGCCGGAGTTGTGGGGCTAGGACGAAAGAGAGGTGACCAGTCTAGTGCGTGGCCAGCCCGGATAAGTTGGCGCCTTACCTTGGGGATGTTTAAGTCGCCATCGAGTGTGGCAGGCTAGGCTCCGAGGAGCAGGGTTCCCTCAGAGGACAGACGGAGTAAAGGAAAGGAAAGGAACCTGAAGCCAGCTCACGAGGCATGAGCAACTTACGCGTATACAGTATTTGCAAAAGCCCTCCTCACCTCGAAACCCCAAAAGTTATACCTGAAGGCTGCGATTAAGGGTGAGCAGCTGGGATAAACTCGTCCAAAATGAATGAAGAGCGCTTTAGGTCTTTCAGGGCAGAGCGTTCTGTAGCACTCCACCCCCTGCCAGGAGAAGACCTTATTGCCAATTTTTTTTAATATGTCCTTTCGGTCTGATTTCCAAACATCTAAAAAGTAATAATAAGAGGAAAGATTTATTGAGCATTTATTGTGTGCCAAGTACTGTGCATGAATTAACTCGTTAAATTCTCCCAACAACCCCTGGGGAAGGTGCTATAATCGCCCGGTTTTACAGGTAAATTAGGGAGGGCACAGAGGAGAAGCCAAGTTGCTCAGTGTTTCACAGGTAGTGAGAAGTGAAGCTCCCATCTGATTCTAGACCCTGCATGCTTAACTATGGCACTATGTGGATAGGGTAGAGGCTGAGGGGGATTCTAAGGGTTGGTGAGGAGAAGCCGTTAATGGCGAAAGAAGGGTATGAATGGGGCTTTGGATTTAGGATGTGAATTTGTGCTGTGCGTTGCTTTCTCCTTCTACTTATTTTAGCAGAGGCACAACAAACCGCTTATCCCTGATCTTTTAAAATGTTTCCATATTTTAAAAAGTGCTTTAAAATTTTCTTTGGATCCATGAAGATGAGAAAATGTGTGTGTGTGTGCGTCTGTTGGTGTAGTCTCAAGATCAGAATGGACCAGGATGGACGTAGAAAAAGTACAGTTAGTGCATGAAATAACGCATTAAAAGACCGCTATTTTTGGGGCCCTGAACCACTCCTCCCTCCCCCGCCCCCAGCCTGGGAAAGGCAAGCAATTAGAACTATGCATTCAACATGGAGAGCGACAGTGGCAGAAGAATGACTGAAAGAGAAACAAAACTCGGACTTTCAGTTTAAGTAGTCAGACGTGTCACACAATTCCAACTAGGGCGGTGGGGGGCGGGGGAGTTCCCGAGGATGATGGAACCAAAAATAAATCTAAGAATATTGCTGTGAGTTAGGTTCCCAGAAGATTTTTAAATCAGAATACAGTTTAAAAATTTTGTTGTTACAATGGCGCTCTTAGAAAGGAGGCAGTTGGGAACAAACAAAACAAAACGAGTTTGGAACGTTCTTGAGGAACTTGAAACGCCAGAAGTGACTCTCAAGATAGTTTGCCATTGATTGTTTGTTGGCTTCTTGGTTTACCTTCTGGGTCACGATTATCAGGGGGCAGGACAGGACGATTCTGGGGATAGCCCTGCTGCGAGGCGGGCCTTTGGAAAGCTGCATAGTTCCCTCACGATTGAAGTTCGTCTGGTACAGCGCGTTTATGCAAAACAACGGGTTTCTGGGTGGACTTGGGCCGAAGAGTGGTGTAATCAACGTAGCAGCGCTTTTGCCCGGACCCTGTTGTCGTTGGCAAACGGAAAATGAAATACAAGCAGGGAAGTATTTTAATGGGGATGGAGGGAATTCACAACTGTTAATTATTTGGTGACCTTGTATTCGATTTGTTTGAGTCCCTTATAAAAACGCTAATGCAGACCAGACGGCCAAGTGAGGAAGCCGGGCAGAAGGTTCCAATCTAGGCTGTATTTCCCCGGAAAGGGGGAACAGCCTTGGAAAAGTCTTGCTGAGCGTTCAAGTGTACTCGTGTGCGTGCGCGCCCGCTGGAGCGTCAGCAAAGGGCTTGCGCCTCAGTCCAGGTTCAAGCCCCTCCTCCTGTCCGGTGAACTGGAAGGTCCTGGTAAAAGCTCAGGGGTAGAGGATGGAAGCCTTAAGCTACAAGTTGTTCTGCTCTTCTGGCTGAAATATTAAGACATTTTTAAGGCCACATATCAACCCGTTAGCCATTGGCTGGTTGCTAAATATCAGTTCTCACCCGTATCCCTAAGGCCCTCGGGGGTCGCCTTACAGGGAAAAGCAAGAAGCTAAGAACACCTAGCATCTTCTGCTGAGAGAGCGCAGGGCAAGCCAGGATTCTTGGGGAACTTCCTGGGCAGGGGAGGCCAATCTGAGAAGGACGCTGCGCGCTTTTCCCAACGCAGGAGGCTCTCCGGCTTCTGGAAGTTTACGAGGTCAATCCTTATCGTTTTTGC